TAATAGAAGAATAACCTCCTTAAGCTTCTTACAACTGACCGCCAAATGCCCTCTATCTTCAACTTCATTACATCCTCTTGGACATAAGTTATTCATTTGCAATCTCCTATATGATAAGAATTGGAAGGTAGGTAAAGCATTACTCAATAACCTCCACCAAAAGTTCTCCACCCTCGCATTAAGATTTGCCTTCTTCAAACATTTCCAGTATTTGTAATCTTGAAAATTCTGCTCCATAGCCGATACAGCCATTGCTGATAAAGATTTCCCATAATTTCCTTGAATAAGCTCCAACTTGTCTTCCTGGTTATTTGAGTCAATTTGAACTTTGCTAATCAGCTCCACCAGCTCACTTCCAAAATTCTTATTTAATTCATCAATATTCCATCTTCCTTCCAAAATGAAACAACTTAACATCACTGATTCCAAATTGCAATCTTTAGGAGCCACAAACGTTGGCCACATGTTTAAACTCTTATCCATGATCCATATATCATTAAAGATATCAATAGAGTCCCCATTTGCTATCTTGCATCTCACAATCTGTTTAAGAAACTTTCCTCCATCCTTTATTAACTTCCAGGCCGGTGAGCTAGATTTCTTCCCAGCACTATGATCCCAAAATGAACCATATTTCGGACATAAGGCTTTATGGAGTAATGATTCTTTGTCTTGAACATATTTCCGTACAAGTTTTGCTCTCAAAGGGCCAACCTTGCTAGAACATGAATGCAAACCTCAGCCACCATTCTCCAAGGGTGCACACATTGTACTCCAATTCACATAATGAAGTCCTAAACCACCATTCATCTTGTTCCAAATGAAACTTCTACATAGCTTGTCAATTTCATTTAAATACTCATTGGAATCATAGAAAGTGTAGAATGGAATGACGGATAAGAGAGCAATACCGTTTTAATAAGGGTGATCTTCCTCGCCAATGAAATGAACTTGCCACCCCAAGTATTCAACATTTTTAGCACTTCGTCAATGATAAATTGAAAGTCCGTCTTCACTAGTCTTCTCAAAGCAACTTTGATTCTAAGATAATTAAACTCTTTTACTGATTTGAATCCCATTATATGTGTTATAACATTCTTCTTCCTTCTTCTAACAGATTTTCCAAATAAGATTCATGATTTGCTTTTATTTACCTTTTGCCCAGTCCATCCGCAAAAAGCCTTCAAAATACATTTAATCTTCTTCACATTCTTCAACTTAGCATCCGAAAATATTATAATGTCATCCGCATAAAGCAAATGCAAAATCTTTGGGCCATTTGGGCTAACCTTGATACGAATTGAATCATCTTCAAAAAAAACATTAGACATGAGATGCGAACAAAGAGTAAAATGAAAAGGAGACAAAGGGCATCATTGCTGAAATCCACTTCTAGCCTTTATCCAATCGGTCTGATTCCTGTTAATCAGCAATGAAAAGGAAGGATATTGAACACAATCCATGATTAACTTGGAGAAGAAAGGAGGAAATCCAAAATACTCCAAAGCTTTACTCAGAGTCGGCCACCCCATGGAATCGTACGCTTTCTCCATGTCAATTTTGAATGAGACTAAACCTTTAAAAGATTTTGAATGCCTGAACTTATGAAAAATCTCTTGAGCTATGAGTACATGATCAGAAATAGATCTCCCCTTTAGAAAAGCAACTTGTTCATTAGAAATTAGTTTTGGAATGATGCAAGAAAGATTATTCAGCAAAACCTTGGCTGCTATTTTGTAAATAATTCTGCACAAGCTGATCGGTTTATAATTAGATGGAGCCAAAGGGTTACTTTAGGAATCAGCACAATAAGAGTTTCTTTCCAACTCTCACACATTTCAGCTGTGACAAAAAAAAAATGATTCAAAGCATTCCAGAAATCCTCTTTTATAATAGACCAATAGCTTTTAATAAAGGAATATGATATGCCATCATTCCCCGATGCAATGTACCCCTCGGATTGCTTGATCACACTCTCCACTTCTTCTAAAGAGAAACATTTGTTCAATTATTTTTTATCCTCCTCATCCAGACATTTCCACGGTTTGGGCCAACCATCCAAGGAATAATCCCTTTCATGCCATTTTCCATTGACAAAACTGAGCAGAACTCCTTCAATATGGTGTTGGTCCTCCATTATACATCCATCTTAATTTTTTATACTAAAGATAAAATTGGAATTTCTCCTAGCACTTGCAAAGGACTGAAAAAATATGGAGTTAGTCTCCCTCCATCGTCCATCTCATTAATTTTAGTCTTCAGGCACCAAATGTCTTCATTTGAGAGTAAACCATCATTTGCTTCTTTAAGTTGAAGCTCCAAGATTTCTTACTTTAGTGTCTCCTTTTATTGATTTAAGCATTTCAATTTGGCTCTACTCCAATCAAAAAGAGATTTCAAAGCTCTCTTCAACTTTTGATTAAGAATTTGAGAGAAGCTCCCACCTCTTCTCAAATTCCATGACTTTCTCACCACAGCAGCCGAGGCCAAAATTGAGGCCCATATGTCTTCAAATTTAATACATCTTTTTGTTCAATGGCAAATTCCAAATAGATTTAACAAAATGGGGCAATGATCCGATGCCACTCTTGGTAGGTGCTTAACCACTAAACAATGGGAAGAACTTAGAGCCAAAGAATTCACAAAGCATCTGTCCAACTTTTCAAGAATCCGATCAGTACCCGATTTATTTTTACACCATGTAAATTTTAGGCCAACACAATTAACCTCATGAAGGTCATTGCAAGTAAGGAATGTTTTCATCTCTTTAGGACCCAAGGAGAAAGTAAATCTTCTTCCATCTCTTTTATCATCCTTAGTAAGTAGACAGTTGAAATCACCACCTACTACCATAGGAAAATCAATACTAGCATAAGCTTCCAACCTCTCCCAAAGGATCCTTCTTCTATAAACATCTTTACTACCATAAATGGTAGCTACTCTCCATCTTCCTTTGTTAGCAACATCCAAATCACCAATGATAAATTGAGAAGAGAACTCCGATACCCTGAAAGTAACCAAATTGTTTTTCCAGATTACCACAATACCTCCAAACAATCCTTCCGAAGGAACTTGAAAATAATCCCAACCAGAACCAATCAAAGAGCAAACATCACTACTATCAATACAGGTCAATTTTGATTCCAATAACCCAAAAAAAAACATCATTGTCTTTCACCACCTCCTTGAGATATAGAGAAGCTTTCTTTTTTTCTAGCTCCTCTACAATTTTAGAATACTATTGAGGTCACTTTTGGGTAAGAGGGGAAGAGTTCCCCACTTTCTCCCTTATATCACCATCTACTCTTCTACTTCTAGAAACTAATTTAATTGGCCCCAATCCTTTCAACTGGTTAGCACCTTTCTTTTTAATGATAGTAGAACCCCCCTTCATTACTATTTAACTCAACTTTCATCATAACAACTGGATTTGTTATGTCATCACAACATTTAGTATGCTTAACTGACTTTCTAGGAGATTCATCCATTCCAACAATCTCCCCTTCCTCATTCATAGCATTTAAAACATCAAATTTATTATCATTAACAAAAATTCCATTTGAATTGAGAGCCATACCATTTACAATTACATTAGACGATTGAAGATCCACAGTTTTGAATTCCATCCTCATCCTTCACACCTCTTGAATCTTCGGTTTGATCTCCCAGAGTTTCAGAATTTAATTCTGAATTACCCTTTACATTAGCATTAAAAATCTGTCCAGCAACTTCCAGATTTTTCTTTTCAGCATTAAGGATCTTCTCAGCAACTTCAGGCATTTCATCTCTAGCATCAGATTTGTTACTTTCCGCAACAGCAGAAACCTTCTCAGCAACAGCATTATTCTTTACAGATTTCGGTATCTTCTCAGCAACTTTGATTAATTGTCCTTCAAAACTCTTCACAGCATCTCCTTTAGTTAACTGATTCTCCTTGAATTTGAAATTTGCATTTCTGAAATTCTTCTTCCCATAATTCACTTGGACCCAAGGTCCATAACATTCTCTACCAGTATCAGCAGATTCATCAATTTTCCTTTTATCAACTTCAACATCCACATTTTTAGCTTGACTTCAATTTAAACTTCTCAGCATCCACTTCCATAATAGCTTCATTTTCACAGACCAACCCATTTCCGATAGAATCAAGTTTTGAAACGGGGGAAGACGACGTACCCAAATCAGCGTTAACAAAAACTTTGGAATTCCTGACTTCATCCGCCGAAGATTGATTTTTAACAAAACTTTCAAACAAAACGTTCTTGCCCTTCCCTAAAACTTCAAATTGTTTATTTGCATTCAGTAATCCTCCTCTGTTTATAATCAGAGGACGTTCCTTCTTAAATTTCAATTTTGCGTCATGATCAAAATCCAAATCCCCAAAGGCTGGAGGAGACGAACCTGCTACCAGTCGAGACATTCCGAGATGGAGCTGTGGGTGGGCGCACATTGAAGGAGCCACCAGCTGAAGGTTGCCGGCGACCCTCCGACGTCATTGGAGACGAGCTGAAATCGCTTGAAGAAGGAATTCAAATTCCGTCTTTTCCCAAGGAAAAACGGAGCTTTTCTCACTTCCCTAGTCAAACATTATTCGTTCTGAATATTTGAGTTCATAAATGGATTTTTTTTCTTTCAATTTGCATAACTGATTTGATGTTATAGCACTCATAAAGCTTGAAGGGGATTCCATGTAAACTTCTTCATTGAGGTTTCCATTTAGAAAGGCATTTTTGACGTTGAGTTATTGTGGAGGCTTATCCAGATCTATGGTTAAGAAAAGATGCCTAACTTATATTGAGTTGGCTATAAGTATTTTGATAGTCTATCCCATAAGTGCAACCACCACTAACAAAACATTGAAATGTACATCAAAGAAAACTTGTTATATTGAGTGAAATTGTTTTGAGGAAACTTCTGCAAAATGATTGGGCTTGATTTGCGTGTCATTTCTTCTTTAGAAAAGTTTTTTATTCTTCATAAATTCTTCCTTTTTGTTATAGGCAAGTCTTCATTGGAGATGTTGTTGTAATGAAAGATCCTGAGAAGCCCAATGATTGCCTCGTGAGAAGATTGGCTGCTGTAGAAGGATATGAGATGGCCTCCAAAAATGAAAAAGATGAACCATTTATTTTAGAGAAGGATCAATGTTGGGTGTTGTCGGATGATGAATCCTTGAAGCCAAAGGTACCTCTTGTTATTTATGAGGTTTAATTAACATTTTTCCAATAGGAATCATTTGTGATTATTAATTACATATTGCATGAATTGTTATTGTGATCTGTCAAAGAGCTCCACTCTTGCTACACTGGATATTTAAAATAAAAAATATATTATTTATTTTTCTTGCTTTTTCTGTCAAGAACGCATGACTTTAACTGACATTGGAAACAACAATTGATTTGTCTATACCATCCTATTTCATTATTTTTTATCAAAACATATCTTGCGTATTATGACTGGCCAAGTTTAAATCTCTAGATTCATTTAAGTTTATCCATATCATATTGAAATTTTCTTGCACATCCACTTTAATATTTTGTATCACATTTTATGCATGAAAATATGTTTAATTCAGTGGTCCTCTTTTATATTTTCTGAAATGCCTTATGAATCTGTTCTAACTTCGAATAACCTTCACAATATACTCAAGGAGTGGATTCATTTTTCACTAATTATGCATTTTTTTAATGTTACTATTATCTTGATTATCATCCATATTCTATCCCTCCTAACTTATTGTCTCATTATTCTTCATTGTCTTTGATGTTTCACCCGGACAATCATACTATTAAGATTATGATGAAATGAGACTCAATTGAAGGAAACCAAATAATGATGACGAATAGAGAGAATTTGCTTAAGCTTTTTTATGACATGGATAATTTAGATATGCTCAAATGAATAAGTAACAATCTCTTATACATAATTTTATTGTGGGCTCCGAAAATTCGGCCCCGGCCTCCCCGCCGCGCAACTGATTAGCTTTTTATTTGGCGAGGGGGAGTTTTAACGGAATAAGTTCCGGGGTAAATTTTGGAAGGCAGATGGGTTTGTAGATAAGACACTACCCAGAGATTTCGCCCTCATTTGGTGAGGACTTTATGATCTGAGTTCTGGTTTCCTATAGGCGCAGGCCCCTATAGTTAATTACCCCTCCCGATAATGAGAGAGAACTTTCGATTAAGGCTAGTCGTCAATCAGATACGTATTGAATACGTGGTATCTGGCATATAGTAGCAGTAATAGGTATGGATTTGAATTTGAAGAGTTTGGTAGGTTTTGTTATTTAAAATAGAAATTGCACCATTTTAAACTTAAAGTGGATGGTGGGGAAATGGATGATGGACCCGATCAAGATCACATAGTTCCGTCGTCCCGGGCCATCATGGTCCCTGGTCTACTTAGTCAGAGGAGGTAGTCGACCCAACCTGACAGAAGGATCCTTGTCGGCAGCCATGGGTTGCTTCGTCCAAGGGAACCTTGTAGACCTGGGGTGAATGTTTGTCTAAAGGGACAAATTTGAACCCACCTTGGCTAACAGAGGGCTTTGTGCCCTATCGATCATATCCTATTGATTCATATCTTAAGGATTTGATGTCATTAAAGAGCGTATTGGCTCTGGCCATAACCGGTATTTGTGATGCCATTTGACAGCAAAACCACTCGGTTCAGAGGTCCTGGGTCATAACCGTTTACCAGCAGTGCCATTTGGTGGCGAAACTGCCGGTTAGAGGACACGTACCAAGTCCTTACTGGCAAAAGATTGTTTGAGAATGGATCCTAGTAATATTTTCGACTAGGCACTTGGCTCTTTGTGAGCTAGA